GTTAAATGCAAAAAGCTGGCCTTGCTACTCTCTAAAACCTTCATAACTCTTCCCTGCCTGTGTTCATTTCTCAGAACATCTCTTTCAGACTCACTGAAGGATCAGGCTGCTGAAAAGGTTTTTTTTTTTCCTAATCTAGAAAAGATCAGGAAATTACCTACAGATCTGGGATTTGGTCTTCTGTAGGACAAACATTGTATCTTTTTCTTTTATATCTTAAGCTATGCATGCATGCAGAAACATTTCTTCATGTTTTCTCAGCTTTCCAAAGAGCTCAAAGCTATTTTTCTAAATCCTTATGCAAAAGCTGAGTTATGGGATGCATATAGAAATATATATAATATATCTGGGTGGGATCCTAGATTCGTGTAGTCTGTTACTGTGTCTAAAGGCAAAATCAACTACTGCCACGATTCCTGATGGAAGTAAGATCTAGCTGTGCAATTTGATTTTTTCCCTCCTTTTTCACTTGCACAAGAGAAAAAAAAATTTAATGCATTGAAAAATAAAAGTACTCTTTGCACCTCTACTTTTAACAGACTTATGAAGATTTTTTTTTTTTTTTAACTGGAATAGAATAGTAAAAGTCAACCTGAGAGGAGCTGGGAAAGTTGTGTTCCCAAAACAGCTCTTCAGGGAATATCTTCAAACTGAACAACTGACATTTTGCTGTTTAAAGCACTGTTGAAGAATGTCTCTTTTTATAGAAATATTCTGCTTTTTGTTGTGTTTTTCATAAACCAGCAGTACAAATCCATACAGTATAAACTAAGATATTAGCATCACCAGTGTCAGCTCAGGCTATCAGGACAGAGAGTGTATAGTTTAGGTTGCCTGCTAGTGCTGTCTTGCTTATTTTTTGTCTTCCTAGAAGTGATGCTTGTCTCTGAACTGAGCTGTGGCTTTTCTGTTTCCGTTTAGATTTATATGTCAGTAAGGATTTTTAAAAACTAGAAATGTTTGTGTAAATGTTCATTTTTACATGTAAAATTACTTCATAAATAATAAGTTCATTTATTTCTCTGCTTTATAAGCCTTTAACCCGTAACAACTTCTAAAGAAGCCTTTATCACAGCATCATTTGCATCTTTTTCCCGTTGGCCTTTATTTCTTCTTGTTGTATACTTTGGATTGTGAATTACAAAGAAGAAATAATTCCTAATCAGCAATCTATATTGTTACTAGCCTAAAAAATATTGTTAGGATCTGGTCACTATGTTGTTTCACCATTTTATTTCTGCAGCTTATAAAAAGGGAATTCAGGCTTTATAAAAACAAAAAGTATTTATATATCATTGCTACTCTTCTGTGTTGGCTGTTACATGTGAACTACAACCCTCTGTTTCAAGGATAGTTAGACATTTTGTGGACCTATCTTTTAATGCTTAGAAGTGTTCAATTATTTATTACTTGTCGAAGTTAATATTTAAGGATTTCTAATGTGTTGCTCACTATCATTTTAAGCCTCTTCCTAATGAATCAAGAGTGCCAGCATTTATCCGGTAGGAGTAGTTTGCCGTGACAGCTCTCACTGCCCTGGGGCGAGAGCTCCGGCCCTGTGTAGGAGATAACTGAAGTGTCTTCCTTCCTTCCTGACAGACACTGCCTGCAAGAACCGACCCCTAGACCTTGTCTTCATCATAGACAGTTCCCGTAGTGTCCGACCTGAAGAGTTTGAGAAAGTGAAAATCTTTTTGTCCAACATGATCGATACTCTGGACGTTGGTGAAAGAACAACCCGTGTGGCAGTGATGAATTACGCCAGCACGGTCAAGGTAGAGTTTCCCCTCCGGACCTACTTTGACAAAGCATCTATGAAGGAGGCCGTGTCTCACATTGAGCCCTTGTCTGCTGGCACAATGACCGGCCTTGCCATCCAAACCGCCATGGATGAAGTCTTCACTGAGGAAATGGGCACCCGGCCAGCAACCTTCAATATCCCCAAGGTGGTCATTGTTGTGACAGATGGACGGCCACAAGACCAGGTTCAAGATGTGGCAGCAAGCGCCCGCACAGCTGGCATCGAGATCTATGCAGTTGGGGTAGACCGGGCAGACATGCAGTCCCTGAGGATCATGGCCAGTGAACCGCTGGATGAACACGTCTTTTATGTGGAGACGTACGGTGTGATCGAAAAGCTGACATCCAAATTCAGAGAGACTTTCTGTGGTAAGGTAGTCATTCCAAGAGGGTAGTGTAACTTGGCTCCTTTGGGCTTCTACTGTGGTTCCGCTCCCTAAGAAAGAAGCTTTTCTTTTTGAGAAGTGTTAGGTATCACATTTAAATATTTCCTTTGCCACCCGTTGGGCAAACAAGCCAACCCTTTTATTCAGTGGAGGCCAAGGCATGACCTTTTATTTTGAATAGTGACCTTACCATGCAAGTATCAGACCAGATTTCAGTGAACCTCCTTGTGCAGTTGGTCTGATTTAGTGCAAGAGAAAGCCTGGCAATCTGGCTGGCATTTGGCTACGTGTATTTATGGACTTGCTGAGAGAGCACGCCAGAGCTGTGCAGTCTGCTCATTTCTTTTCCCATCTGTCTGGGAAGCAAGGAGGGTGGAAGTGTGGTGCTGAAAGGCTCCTTACAGATTCGGAGTAGGAGAATCAGTGTGGCAGGTGAACAGGTATGCTATCTTGAGAAATTTGGTACAGGATGAAGTGCCCCAATGCAATGGCAGGTCATCTAGGGATGGGCTTTCACCCTGCAGGCACTGCTGGGCTTTTTTGGTGTGCACCTTTCTGTGTTTCTCTGCGACTTGCTTTTACTTGTGGGACGCATTGAATTAGCTTTGCTCTTTCAGGGCTGGTCTTGGAAAAATGCTGGATGTATACTTGGTTTGGGCTAGAAGTCCACTAACGATGCTAGGCCAGCGTGTGTTGTTACTATCATTTACAGAACAAAAAAAAGGCCATGTATCTGGAGTATTTAGAACTACCTATAGATAGCTATGGCACAGCCCTACTCACAAAAATCAAACGATGACTTTTTGACAATTAAAAAAACTTGTATGAAGTAGATTTTTAAAATAAATTTCTAAGGAAATGACTTGTTAAATAAGCGTCCAGCAAGGAATGGGTAAAATCAGGTGTAAAGAACATTGTAAGAGAATTAAAATAACAGCCATTGCCTTGGGAATTTTATTGCAATGTGTTACTTCGTTATTTCAGAGCCTTGCCGAACATTGCCACCATACCTGTTGAACACATTTAGAGTGAATAGACCTCTTTTTCTAGGTATGAAATAAATGTGTTGGACCATCTGTAAACAAGACACTTTGCCCAATAATTAACATAGTAAATACCTTGGGGTTTGGCTTGACATCATGTTGTGTTGCTGATGTGACCACAGTCCTCTCTCTGGTAGCTGGAAGGGGGCACAAGTGCCCAACTAGCTGGACAGGTATGTGTGAGGTGGACATAGCACTGATTTTCCAATTCTGTTCTTGCCAAAGCAAGTCCTTCATAGCATCAAAGAAAAATCTCTTGTTCTTTAGAGTAAACGCACTGTTTATTGTGCTGAAACAGGAATTACGCCCCTACTAATCTGGAGGATAAACCAAAGGGAGCTCACACATGCACACTTCCAGTGTAACTCTGAGTTTCCTGCATGCAATTAGCCAGAGTCTGTGGGATTCTTGTATAAAAGTGGGGTAAAGGGACTAGTTTTTCTATAAGGTTCCTACAAACCAAATGAATCGAAGAGGGTCTTGTAAGACAGTGTGGGTAAACTGGATCTTTTCCAGATCCAGACTGCTTTTTGGTCAAAAATCTAGACTTACAGTCACAATTAGGATTTTCTTTGCTTTGGCCAAGGCAAATAAATTTGTTTGTAGGGTGAACTGAAAACAGGAAAACTAATGTTCAGGGGAAAAATAGTTGGCTCAGATCAAGTTCTTGGTGCATTGAGAGCATCATTCAACATGAGACCATCCTGGAGATGGAAAATCATAGCCTTCAATTGGTGTCCAAGTCAGTGGAAGCTTGACTTTCCTACCACAAAAATCTGACCATTTGAGTCTGAGCTTCTCAGTTGTTGAAAATCTCACTCACAGATTTTGTTCATAAGTCATGGAGATGAATTATCTTATTCTCAAGGGCGTAGCAGAATGAAAAGACACTGTCTTGGTTTAAGGCTTGTTTTTGCCAATGGAAATACAAGACACGCTTTCTATCAGCTGTATTAGGGGACATCTAAATCTTCCATGTTTTAGAAAATGGAAAATGTTGCTTTGCATTCAGAAAAATACATAAGAAGATTCAAACATTCTTGCTTCTCATGTCTTATCTCACCAATATTGCTTTGGAGTTTGATTTTGTTGTCAATATCTACATTGTAACTACTCATGTAAATAACATCACGGGTAGTAACAGACTTGTCTTGCCATTTTTCTCCTTTTCCCTTTTCTTCCTCTTTCTTTCTTTTCTTTCTTTCCCCCTTCCTGCTTTTTTCCTCCACCTTTTTTTCTCTCCCACCTTCCCTCTTCCCTTCCTTTTTTCATCTCATCGAAAATTAGTCATCTAAAAATCATCTAAGTTTAAGCGAGTATCTAGGTTTCCTTTACAGTCTGTGGAGAGAAACAGAGGCATCTTGAGGTGACCAAAGCAGTAGCAAATCTAAAGCTAAAGACACTTCAGAAAAAGTGGCCAGAAGTTAATTAGCTATGTAGTGAGATGATCTGCGAAGGAAAAGGCTGTCAGCACACACAGTGCGCGGCAGCGGTACAACACTCATTTTGTCTGCCCTGGCACCACAACACACTTCTACCAGCTGCCATCTGCGACGCTGCTTTTTGTATCGCTTTTTTCTGTTTTCTCAGTCTGATGAGATAGCCTTACTGTTTGCTGGGGAATTAGCTGGTCCCTGAAAACTGGATCTCATTTTGTAGTCTGCAGTTCCAGCTTCTCAGTTCTCTGAGGTTTGGACACTATTTCTGTAGTATCCTATGAGGAGGTTCACGTGCCTGTAAAGGTACTTTGCTGTAGCAGCTCTCCTCCATATCCTCTTTCAGTCTCAACATTTTAGACCTGATAGGTGAAGGCCGCTGTAGCCCTCATATGCTCATCTTGTACTGGCAGGTTTCTTTGCTGGCTGATACCTCTGGACCATCATTACACAGACACACTTTTCATCCCTGAGAAGACAGCGTGTTATCCTAGTCCCTCTGAGTCATTTTTCTCCTCCTGCTGGTCTTGCTAATCTTTCTGTTGCAGTTTTGTTTTGTTTTGTTTATTTTATTTTATTTTATTTTATTTTATTTTATTTTATTTTATTTTTTTACTTCCTATTGCATTTCAGTTTACATGGGGCTTTTTTACAATGCAGTAGGAATTCATAAATCAGGTTGTATGCCAGTGAGCACAAGCTAGTAAACTGCCAGACAGTGACTGATACATTTTGGGATTACTTAAACTGGTTTGGAATAGAAAGGGGCTGGACACAAAAAGCCAGAAGGTCCTTCCCATTGCCAAGTTCTTGTTTCCAGTGTAATGTTACTAAATGCTTAAAATCTCTCTCTCCCTGTTGCCCCCTTCCCAATCTTGTCTTTCTGCCACCTCGGGTGGTGAGTTATTTCAGTGCAGTTGTTCTGGTGTCATGTATGACCTCTTTCTTCTGTCTACAGAATGATGCAGAAGACGCCTGTAACTTTCTGTGACAGTGACACAGCACTGACACGTACTGCTACTAATCCAGCAAACAGTGCGAGATGTACTTTTGTAAGGATAAATTATTGATGACTGTTTCTTTCCTTTGGGATGACTTAAATGCCTTTTCTGTAAATGCCCTTTGTAGCTGCAAACGTGTGCGCACTTGGGACCCACGACTGCGAGCAGGTCTGCGTGGCGAACGGCGCATCCTACCTTTGCGACTGCTATGAAGGCTACACTCTCAACCCAGATAAGAGAACCTGCTCAGGTATTACTCCTTCAGTAAATGTGTTCAACTAGAAGAAAAATCACTTTTTAACACCATAATTGTATTAGAGAAGCTACTCGTGTACTTCTGTTGAAACAGTGAACTTCTGTATCTTCTTCAACAATAATAATAATTAATAAATAAAAGTCTGCTGCAAGTAATGGTGAGAAGTAGTTTGACTCCATCACCATTGTTTTTATTATGCCTACAGATCCATTCATTAGGGCCGGATGCCAAACAAAGTCTTCAGATGTAGTCACTGCATAGATATTTTCTCCTACCACTTATTCTAATTTCTTCGGTTACCATTACTATTTCTGAGCTGATTCCAAATTGAAATATATTTGAAAATATGAACATGCAGTCCATCCCAAACTACTTTTTATTAGCCATTAATTGTTTCTCTAACATGTGTCTTGCAGCTGTGGACGTGTGTGCACCTGGAAGGCACGAGTGTGATCAGGTCTGTGTGAGTAACAACGGCTCCTATGTCTGTGAATGCCATGAGGGCTACACCCTGAATCCTGATAAGAAGACTTGCTCAGGTAAGAATTAAAGGCTACTTTAATATAGGAAATTCATGGAGACACAGACATGTTTTCTGTGAGTTACCTTCATTATTTCTAATTGTAACATTGCTTACAGTCATCAACTCTTAAAATGAGAATTCACCTATTGAGTTTCCCCTTGGTTCCCATGTTGATTACAAAATGTCTTGAATACAAAACTGCAGTTTGGCACGTACCCACCATTTTATGGTCTTCATAGTACTCCATAACCATCACTTATTCCCTGGGAGAGGATGAACCTATTCCAGAGATGCCCACCAGCGCTGTGTCTCCATTGGAGAGTGAGTGCCACTAGTCCATAGAGAATTTAAAACCTGATGATTTTCCCTTGTCCTCTCCATTTCTCCTGTAAAAACTCTATTTTTTTTGGGTTTTTTTGGTTTTTTTGGTTTTTTTACAGCTTGCTGCTTCTGCTTCCAAGCTGTGCAGGGATCTCCAATATAGCAACTCCAATCTTACACTGACATCAGCTTCTTCAACTGTCACCCAGAAAAGTTAGCCATTATAAAAACTTTTTTCCCAAATACTTCTCTGGAGTTGTTTTCTTAAATCCAGATGTTTTGAGCAGCACCAGCCTTAGTTTTTTTTGTTTTTTTACAGCTTGCTGCTTCTGCTTCCAAGCTGTGCAGGGATCTCCAATATAGCAACTCCAATCTTACACTGACATCAGCTTCTTCAACTGTCACCCAGAAAAGTTAGCCATTATAAAAACTTTTTTCCCAAATACTTCTCTGGAGTTGTTTTCTTAAATCCAGATGTTTTGAGCAGCACCAGCCTTAGGGTGGCTATTTTATAACTGGCAAGTGCATCCCCCCCTTTCAGAGCACATAGGCATTCTTCTCACAGAAGTTTTCACTCTTCTAATTTCTGAAGAGAGAACACTATCTTCTAGTGCTCTGGCTTTTTTGGTTTTTTTGTTTACTTTTGTTCTCACTAGGCTTTACATCTCTCTGCCATTTAACACCATTTCTGCATACCATGCCTGGCTTTTTGTGCCTGCCTTCAGCTCATGGATGAAAGTATGAAGTTAAATTTGGATTCACCATAGTTACTGCTAACACCACAAGAAACAACTTCTGCCTCGACACGTGGCAGGTTATCGCTCACCTCAGTATGGTCTTTTAGCTTCATCCTTACTGGGGGTATTCAGGGCTATTAGGATTGCTGATGAAAATCAGAATCGCGTTGAGATGTGGTATCGTAATGTCTTGGAGTCCAGATATCTGCCTCCTCCATGACATGATTAGTAACTGAATTCAGGTGTCTGCAGCATAATATAATACAGTAGTAGGGCACTGGCTGAATCCTAATTTGAATCCTAATTAAATTCTATTTATAAATGTTGAAGCATTTAAAACGCTTGAGTGTCTGAGAGGGATTAATGGTTTTTTTTTTCTAAAACATGGTTCACCCCAGCCATAGACGCATGCACACCTGGAAGACACGACTGTGCACAAATCTGTCTGAGTAACGATGGATCCTACAGCTGTGACTGCTTTGAAGGGTACACTCTGAATCCAGATAAGAAGACTTGCTCAGGTAAGACTTGATCAAGGAAACATTGTTTTTAGCTACAAGCAAGTAGCTTGTAAAAAATCAGGTTCATTTATGTTATTTTTCTGATAAATTATCCAATAGTTTCTGTACAACTCCTGAAAACATAGTGCAACATTATTTTTTCACGTGTCCAGTAATAATTCAAGACCCATGACTCTTCTCCAGTGGTGTGAGATTGTAATTGGTATAATTGAAATGCCATTTAGCATTTCCCTGAGGGCTTCACACTGTTTTCATGCCCATGAAGTATGAATTGCCGTATCCACCAGAGAGAGTAGAAGGGTAACATATTTGGTGGGAATATGTGACGTGTATTACCCGTGTCAGAAAAAGCAGCAAAGCAGCACGAGGGAATGAGATGAAGAAGAGCAAGGGCTGTGCTGGGAGAGACGTTACAGTCTGTATTGTCATGAATGTGATCACTCTTTCTGCTGGATGTGTTTGGACCTTAAAAAATGCTCCAGCCTTCGAGCTCTAGAGGATGGAGGGAAATGTTCTTTCCCAGTGCTGGTCTCCTGTGGAGAACAGGAGCATAGATACAGCTGGTATTTAAGGATGTACATGTAAGTGTATAGATTAATATGTATTCTCTATTATTTTCACTTGATTAGGATTTGAACTTCACTCTTAATTTCTTTGGATGTCACACTGATTATTTATTTACACAAAATCCTCTTTCCCACTTCCATCATAGTCCCTTTCCTTACTACGTTTTGTGTGAGAAAGCGCTGAACCTAAGCTTCCAACTCCAGGAGGTTCCTAGGCAAATCTCTCAAATGAAGTTACAGGCCTTGCATCTCAAAGAGGTGTAGCCAGAGGACCTCAGTATTTTTTACTGCCTAGTTTAGGAGCTGATTTTGTAAAGACAGTTCCTAAGATTAACTCTCACCTGGCATTATATAGAGGCAATAAACTTCTGTGAGGGAATGTGAATTCAGTTAGGCATCCCCTTTGGGAGTCCAGTCCTGAAACTCCTTTCATAGCACTGATTCTCCCCCTGCATAGTCAAATTTCAGATTATTTCCCTTTTGAATCCCATTTTGCAGTATGCTGCTGATTTCAGAACCATCAAGGTCTTTGTGATATAATAAAAAAAGTCTAGGTCCAGGAGGCAGTCTTGTCTCTTCCTTCCTTCCTTCCCTCCTTCCCTCCTTCCTTCCCTCCCTCCTTCCCTCCTTCCTTTCTCCCTTCCTTCCTTCCTTTCTTCCGTCCCTCCTTCCCTCCCTCCTTCCTTTCTCCCTTCCTTTCTCCCTTCCTTTCTTCCTTCCTTCCTTCCTTCCTTCCTTCCTTCCTTTCCTCCTTTCCCTCCTTTTTCCTTTCTCCCTTCCTCGTTATCTCCCTTCCTCCCCTTCTCCACTTCCCTCCCTTCCCTTCACTCCCTTCCCCTGCTTCCCTCCCT